TTTTCCCTACACAGCAGATCCCTAGGGAGCAAGGCAGTCCAAGGCTTTCCACGGAAGAACAGTTCCCTGGGTAGCATGCAGCCTTTTCCAGTGGGCCCATCCTATCAGCACCGAATTCAGCACCCAGTCTATCCGCACTCAGTTAATCACTGAGGGCCCTCATCTCTCATCACTGAGTTCAATGCCTGTCCTATTGGCAGTCAGTTAGTAGCACCCATCTCAAGTGTTTTGCATCCTTTCTTGCCATGGTTTCCGTAACAACAGCAATGGGATATAGATGGATGCAAATTTTCCTAGCAATCCAAGTAATAGACTCCTCGCGAGGGAGCAGGAAAGTCTCCTTAGCTGGGGTTTCCAAAAGCCTCTCCCTCCAGGGGTGCACAGGAGGCTGTGGTATAAACAGCTAACCCTCTAGCCCCTCCTTCTCCTCTCTTTAGTGGTGGATCTAAGCAGTCTGACCCACCCGCTTTCTCTCCCTGGCAGTGTTCCTTGGCTTGTGGTGACTGGAGAGCCCCATGCCCAAAAGATATTTGCCCTCGCCTTCTATGGTTCCAGGTCCACTGGCCCCCAGCGTCCGCCCTAGTTCAAAACCAGCTTGAGGGAAACACCACAGGACCCTCCCTGGCACCAGCCTGGGTGCCACAGTCGGATGTGATTTCATCAGCTCCTGGCGACAGTTTGCCAGGCTGAGAGCGACCTTGCCATGGCCCCCTGAGGGGAACCTGCATCTAGCCAAGGCTTGCTTGGGGAGGTCTGGCAAAGAAGAAAGGAAGTGAGCCTCAGGTTGTCCATGTGCAGCCCCACGGTGTGGTCTTAGAGCCCCCAGATTGGGGAGAAGGCCCCGGGCCAAAACGCCGGCAGAGGCCTTGGGCCCAGGTGGATAGACTTGCATGACGATGAAGCACACGTATAAAGTCTGCTGTTTGTTTCTAGCCTCCGAACAAGGCTCATGCGGCTGTGCTGAGGGCTTAGAAGAGTACTTTCCCTAGCACACTTTTTGGCACGGAGTAGGCACTCAGTAAATGGTGGCTCTCGAGCTTCCCTTCTCTGGGCAGCGATGGGTCCAGCCCGCTCACCCGGAGCCCCTGTGGAGCCTGATGCATTTACAGGGAAAGCTGCCCTTCCCTAGCCCTCCGCCTGTAACTGGGGCATCTCTGACTATCGCTTACAGCGAGCAGGAGTGTTAATTGAGGCTGGGTTAGTCAACACTCCTGCTCTTTTCTGGAGCACTTTTTTCAAGGGTAAGCCAATCCAAGCCTCCCGTGAGTTTCGGTGTAACTGAGCACTCTGGGCCTTTGTAGCGGGGCTCGCATTCATCGCAGACAAAGCATAATGAGCCACAAGCTCGCATTACCTCATCACATGGGGGCATCGCCCAGCACAATGCGGTGTTTGGCGTTTCTCAGCGTGCTCCATCTGAGGAGCTCAAAGGCTTACGGAAAGCCCTGTCTTTCTTTGGGAAGTATTATTATCAGGGCTTCCAGAGAGCGATGCCGAGAGGTGAGTGACCTGCTTTAAGACCACACAGTAAGAAGGAGCTGGGCTGAGTACGGCCCCAAGCAGCTGAGTGGCACTTCCTGGCTTCCATGGGGTTATGGAGGAGACAGATGAGTGCAGGAAAGGTGTGCAACAACCTAGCCTCCCCCGAGAGGGCAGAGCACAGGATAGGAACTGTGGGAGAGAACACAGAGCCGCTGGGACTCTGCTGAGTAGACATTTCTTTGGTACCTGTTTAGTGCTGGGAAGTGTCTCCCTGGGCTGACGCCACAAAGGATTATTTTACCACCTTGTCCCTAGATCACAGGATCATCATCATCATCATCTACATTGCTGGGGATTAAACCCAAGGGTTTCACACTGAACCATATCTTCAGGCCTTTAAAAAAAAATTGAAACAGGATTTCACTAGGTCACTAAGTTGCCCAGTCTGGGCTCAAAGTTGTGATCCTCCTGCTTTAGCCTTCCAGAGTGAAGTGATTACAGGTGGGTTCACTACACCTGGCTCAGCATTATTTTTAGTAATATTCATGAAAGGAAACAACAATAATAATGAGTGGAAAAGAAAGGCAGACAGTGAAATTTCTCTCTTCCTGACTTTCTGAAGATGGCCATGCCCATAAAAATGTAAATAAATAATATAGTACAAATATGTAAGTAAAGGTTAGGTACTTCTAATTGCATTTTAGTTACATTAATGTGTTTTTTTTTGTTGTTTTTTTATTTTAAAGAGAGTAGTACATGAGAAACAACCAAACAAAAAAATAGAACAGTAGCAGCATACCAGTATCATGAACATAAACAAATCAAAGCAAGAACATTCAAAGTGATACAGGGCCTCAAGACAAAATAATACGAATCAACAGTGGTTGTTACATTACATATTGCTATCCTCAACTATAACATATTTTTTTTTAAAGAAATAAAACCATATTGGCCCATTGTAGTAATGAGTAAGGACCTGGCTTTTCTTTTCAACACTTCTTTAATTTTTCCACAGTCTTGCAAAATTGATGTTCATATTCTCCTGTTCAGTAGGCAGGACCGCCGAATTTTTCCATCCACTTTTGCTTCTGGCTAATCAAAGCACATTACTGTTAATTTTTATTTTGGAAAGTGTCTTTCACATAAAGCAATAGGTATATAAATAGTTGTGAGAACTGTAATAGAATATGTATGGCAAAGACTCATAAAAGTCCAGATTCACAACAAAGTCTAGACATTGCAGTACTTCCCATACCTTGGTCTCTCCAGGATCAATTCTATTGTCTTTTGAATCATTCCAGAACTGAAAAATTAAAAACACAAATAAAACTCCGAATGGTTTCATAAACTGACAGATCGGAAGTAACTCAAATTTCCATAAAGACACAGGACAATAGCATGGTAATACATGAAAATAAAGCAGACTCAGAGCTTGGGGAAAGAGGAATAGAGGGTGGAGCCAAGCTGAGAGGGAAAAGTATGTTCGTCTCTCTGGCACGCTGGTATAGTTGCTATAATTGAACCATGAACTATCTCAACATTCTCTGCTTCTTGGCAGTCACAGAAGAAAGGGAGGCATGGCCAATCGTGCATTCCCACTGCGGAAGAGCAGACACTTGGGGGGAACTTGAAGAATGTTTGTGGGGAGCCCAGGCAGAGGCTTCCCCTGGTGGCTGCAGAAGCTGCAGAGAGAGGTAAAGAACCATAGCATACTTTGATTCTGTTGTTTCTTTGTTTGTTTCTCACCTATGGCTTCAGAGCAGGAAAAGCTGAACTTGGAAAAGACATCCCAGATGCCATGTGAACAACCACTGGAAAGTGACCCAAAGACTAACTGTACTGAGAAATTAGGTGATTTGTGTTCAGGACATTTGAAAACTGAGGTTAGACAGATGATAATGCTTAACCCCAAGGCCCAGATCAAGAATAATGAGGACAGTGAAGAAGACAATCGGGCAGTGAGGGTGGTCTGATGCTTCCTTTGAGGCCACATCTGGTGGGGCCTCCTTTACCACAGGAGCCCCACCTGCTGTGGTGGGGGTCTCTGGGGTCTGGCCTGAGACAGAGGGTCTTCCTTGGTGGTAATGGCAGAGTGGATTTTCTGACTCCCCACCTGGAAGAATACTGATATGTGGACACAATATTTCTTAAAGGCATCAACAAACTCCCAATGCAATGAGAAACCAAGAAATTGAGATTCCAGAAACAGGACAAGGACAGAAGGACAGAAGGACATCTCAGCCACTTTTCTCCTTGGCACTTGTTAGTTCCCAAGTTTACTGACTAGCTGGCTCTGTGACAGGGACAAGTTATGTTACCACAGGAAGTCTCTGTGCTCATCTGCAAAATGGGTACAACTATGTCAAAAGATTGTTCTGAGACGAGTGAAATAAATTAGACAACAAGCTGAGCGCAGGACCTGGCTGAACACACAGTAGCTCCTTTACGATCCCTGCCAAGGATTTCAGCCATTTGATTTTCTACTTCTGGGATTATCAGGGTTTGGCTCTTTGCAGTGGCATCTGGTTCTCTTCTTGTGCACATGAGTCAGCAGCAAAGTTGGGAGTTTTGAAGGCTTCTTGGGATATTGGGTCCACACTGTATTCTTGGGCCCCTGGCCCACACACCCACAGCTGCTCTGTACCTGATGTGGGGAGTGTTTTGCAGATGAGGCTGCCTGGGTGGAAACTCAGCTTCTGTGCTCCAGATAAGCTCAGGCCTCTGGACTCCCTGCCCCAGAGCCAGGCCTTTAGGGGGCCCCAGGTCAGAAATGCAGGCACTGGATTTAGAAGTCCAGAGGGCTGAGATCTACATAAAAGAACAGGCTCAGAGCAGGGAGAACATCCAAAGCAAACCCAGCCTGGGACTCTGGGTGACAGGGGCACTCATAATGGTGACAATGTGTGCACTGTAATGGCATCCACAGAGCACACAGACCCCATTCATCTTGTGCACTAACATGGCTCTGCAGGCTTCACTGCTGTGCTGGGAACCCTGGGAAGTTAGGAAGTACGAGCTACAATTGCTTTTTGCCAGTACTTGCTCTTTGAAGGCTTGTGTTATTTTTGCTCTTGCCTTTTCAACTCTGTGACCCAACTCTGACCTGGCTGTGTCAAAGTGCTTCTTCACTTGGACAGGCAGTATCCTCAAGCCCAGAGTCTGCCCAAGTCTTTCCTGATTATAAAAATCAACTGGGTTTTTGCTAAAACTACAGACTCCCGGGCCTCAACCTTTTCCCAACAAAGAGAATCTCCAAGGCTAGGGGACCTGAGAGTTTCTGGGTTTACAGAGTCCTGGGTGATCCTAATAATCATCCAAACTGGGAAAACACCCTCCAACCTGCTCTTCTCATTGCCCTCCCTCGCTTTTCTCTTCCCTTTTTTGTGTTTTAGCCCAAGTTTCTCCTGTTCTAAGGAATAAGGTCCTCGTGGCAGGTTCAAGCTCTGTGCACCCTATGTTTCTAAACCTTTCCTTTGTTTTAGGCTCAACAACCCAAACTAGCCGGGATAATGTCCAGCATCCCAGCTTCACGTCTCCACCTTGGGGTAATCTGTCTAGAGGATGTACTGTTTAACTTAAATGTAAGTTGATTCCTTTTGAGAATGCTGGGATGAGTGATAAGACCTCAAGATAATGCAAAGCCATGATGTAGAATCAGTACAAATTCCTAAAACAGCACTTTGAAAGTTATAGACACCATCATTAACCTTGCCCTAAAACACCAGGATGTGCCATTGCAGAGTACTTTTCCTGGCTAGTGTTCCTTAGCACCATCTGCGTGGCGGCTACAACTCAGCATGTGACGTTCTGACATCTGGGTCTTGTCTAAGTTCTGATGTCAACGTGCGTGGAGCCGTTGCTATCTAACTGAGTTTCTTTCATCTTTAATATACACAGGGGAAATGGCTGTCTTGCTGTCCACAGTTCTTGATCATTTATTGGAGTCACAGAAAGGACCCAGTGCCTACATGACAAAGGTTTCAAGGAATGGCGGAATGGGTGAATGAAAGAGCAACTCCATGAGGGCATGGTGTTTCAGGCAGAAAGGCTGTTTTATTAAGAATAATTAGGAACAAATGGTGGATCTTTAAGAAAAATGAATCCCATAAGGTGCGAGGCTCGGCTCCTGTGAAGTGGAGCCCAGTGTGCAGTGCGATCCTGCCAGGAGGGTGCTCCATGCGGCGGGTGTCTGTGCTGACCCTCTGCTTGGTCTGTGGGAGCCTGGAAAGACATCTTGGTGATCCTCATTTCGGCTTCTCCTTCTTTCTTCCCTCATTGCACTGCTGGGTTGGGACTGCCAAGGAGCAGAATTTGGTGACAGCTTTTGAGTTTGACTTGCCAGTGAGCATGTTTGGCAGCACATGGGTTTCTGTGGTGTAGCTGGCCAGTGGCCTTGAATTTCTTCTGGTTCAAATGGCCTCCTGCACATGGCATCCCGTAAGTGAGGGTGTGTGTGTGTGTGTGTGTGTGTGTGTGTGCGCGCGTGTGTGCATGTGTGTGTGCATGTGTGTGTGTGTGTTTGCTTGTGTGCACATGTGGAGAACACCGAATTCTGGGTTCTTGGTCTCTGAAGTGATATTAAACCATCTTTACCACCACTGGTGAACATGCCTTGAGCCCTCTGTGCAAAGCACCATTCTCAGTGCCACCAGCAACCCAGAGCTATTGAACTTCCATGGCCTTCAGAAACTTACAGTCTAAGGCAGGTGAAACACACATACATGGTTAATCAGCCCAGTCCCATTTGTATCAATCAAATTTCATAGTTTCAGGCCTTAGAAATGAACTCTGGATAATTTAAGCAAAGAATGAAATTTATCTGGAGGTCTAGAGGACCAGAGTTAGAAAATAGGAATAAGCCAAGGATGTGGAAATAGAAACAGTCTTTGCCATCCATGAACACACCATGGCTACTGGACAATCTCCACCATGGTGGGCCACCTTCAATCCAAGTCTATCTTTCACTGAGCAGATAATAGCAGTTCCAGAAGGGTGAGTTCAGGCTGGAACCCCCAGGATGCAACTCTCCATCTGTGTGAAGCTGGGACTACCTCCCACCTGCTCAGCTTTGGCCAAGTTTGAGCACGTGGCCTTGCTCTGGCTGTTCTGTGGCCCTTAGTGACATCCTTTAAGACAGGAAGGAGATGTAGACACTGGGCTGCTAAAAAATAAGAGCTTTCCCCCACATGGCAAGTTTCCTGTAGAGTCCAGAAAATGAAGTGGAATTAATAGGAGGGGGTGAAGCCCTGTCCCAGGTGGGATGACCTGATATGCCTTCTTCCAGGTAGAGTGGCATGGGGTGGCCATGTGTCTTGAAGGGACTGGAGGTAGTCATCTCCAGGGAAGGGTGTGTCTAAGCATGCTGTGTGCTCACTGTGTCAGGAGAGTTTCACAGAATGTGATTGTGAAAAGGACCTAGAACCACATGCCCATCCTTGAAGGACTAGGGAGAAGAGAGCTTTGCAAGTGACTGTCTGAGATCACACATTTCAAAGAGCAATTTTAAGCTGATGGAAAGAATTGGTCGCACACCCTGTCCCTACTTAGGAGTAGCAGGTGCAGCTACTACCAGAGGCAGAGGGCAGAATGCTGCCCAGGGGCCAGCATGGCACTGAGGATGTCAGGGAAGCTCCAGAAAGGAATGTGCCTGCAAAGGAACAAGAAAGGCATGCGATGCCATCCGGAAAGGAGAGGCAGGAAACAGTTTAATTACCTCTTTGTGTCAATTTGTTCTTCTGTAAAATGGAGATGCTAGATGCTTTGCTGCCAAGACCAGCTGGATGTTGATGATGAACTGAAACAAGGCTAGTATGGGAAATAGGGCACAGGCTATGGGAGGACAGGAAATCTGGTACTGCAGTCATGATTTACCGGCTGTGCCACCTTGGGCGAGTAACTTAAGTTCTCTGAGTCTATTTCCTTGTCAATAGAAGGAAGATAGTACTTCTTATCAGGTGAAGACTAAATGAGATAATGTACATGCAAGTTCTTTATAAAGTACCCTGCCAGTGTAAGGAACTGGACTTATTCTCCTTTGATAAATGCATACGGCTGTTGTTATCAGTCAAGTGCCATGAAGACTCTTGAAGATGTTTCTAAATATCTGAACCCAATAGTTGCTTCACTCAGGCTGCCAGAGTTGCCTTGAGAAGGTCCTCCTGGACCCTGCTTGCTTCCAAAATCAGCCAGTGGCCAGAACTCTTTAAGCCATGCTCTCCCTGGGCCAGCATGAGATGATAAATCTTTTGTACTGGTCTGAGAAAAAACCCCAGAAACAAAGACGAATTTATTATCTTGATAAATCACAAATTGTTCCTGCAGCCTTTTCCTAAGACTGTGCAAAGCATCACAGTCTGCACAGAAGGGAGAGTCTGGTTGGACTTGAGCTGAATTGTGTCCATCCAGCTGGGAAATGCAGACACACCCCAGCTGACCACATGAAATAGTCTGTATGAAATGCAGATGTTTGGTAGGCCTGGTGCTGTCCTTCATCGTTTAAAAGACTTCCATGGCTGCTCTGTGCTTACAGAGTCCTTCCTCCCTAGCCTGTTTGGGTTGGTGGGCTGAGATGGTACTGCATAGTATTTGGGTAGTAGTGCATTATAATGGTTGGATTCGTTAATGTTGGCTATTCCCCTTCACTCCTGTAAAGTGCTGCCTGCATAACTCATATTTAATTTTTAAATTAAAGTGAATTAAAATTAATTTTGTTTGGAGAATTCCACAGCTCCCTCTTGAGATAAGTGGAAGCACCCTGGGGTGATGTAAAAGTGAGGTTGGGAATAGCTGTATTGGAATGCTGTGCTAATGAGGTGAAGGTCAGAGGTTCAATCCCCTCAATCCCCTTGTGAAGGGAGCAGTTAATTTCACTCTGCCTCATGGCCTCAGATTCCACCCTTAATCCTGACCATCCGCCTCCAAGAGGAACTGCTGGTCACCAACAGCACAAAGGGAACTGGAAGCGCTAGACCCTTGCAAATCCATCAGCGCCATTGGAAAGACAACCCAAAGTATGACCCATAGATAATGTACCAGGATTTTAAAATTTGCAGATTAGAGTACTATTACATTATTGCTTTATGTTAGAGCAAACATGTAAAAATATGGACAGGTCCAGTGACTCAGACGTCATGAGTTACAAGATCTCCAAGGCATTACTCTTAGCTCCTAAGAGTTTAGATAACTGATAAAGAGGAAGCTTAATAAACTGTGGTCACACAGTTGATTTTGGTTTATCCTTAAGACTGGGATAAATGAGGTGAATATCTGTGAGCAAAAGATAATGCAAATATCACTTGCATTTGGTTTGAAATAGAAGGTACAGTTTGGGACAACAAATTGCCCTCTTTAATTATGCTTTTCTTGAGCTAAAAGTAATGTTAGTTTGCATTCCCTGAACATGCTGACTGATGGCAGGAAAACAAGCCCAAATGCTCAGCTGGAGGAGGAAGAGAGGAAGTCCAAGATTAAGCGTTTGTCAGGGATAATCCACAGAACAGAGATAATCCATCTCTGTAAATCAAAAGCCAGCTGTATCCTGCTAATTATTCATTTACCATTGTCCTGGTTAGAAAACAGAATTTCAGGTCATTTTATGTTCTCTAGTTCTCTCCTCTCTTTTGTGTGTCCACACATAACTCAATGCTGGAGGCCAGTCTAAGGCCTGTTCTGGCCAAGTCATCCCGAGCCTCTTCTATCTTGGATTTGTCTGTAGCATTAATGGTACATGCTGAATTGTGGCCATGTCTCTTCAGTGCCTGAGGATAAGGTTCACATTTTAAGGCTCTCATGTCTCATAGGGCTTAGCATAGTACTCAACTTCCAGTAGATGCTTAATAATAACATTCCCATCAACTGATCTCAGTAAGGAGTTTTGAATAACAAAGAGTTACTTCCTTCTTCCCTAATATAACAAAATTTAGCACCCATTCTTTATAAAAACTCTCAGAAAAACAGTAATAGAGGGGAACTTCCTCAACTTGCTAAAAAGCATCTATAAAACCCTACAGCTAAAAGGATATTTCCTGGTGAAAGTCTAAATGCTTTACCTCTAAAATCAAGAAAAGGTAAGAATGCCCATTCTAGCATTTCTACTCAACATTCTCCTGGAAATTTTAGCAGTGCAATAAAACAAGAAAAGGAAATATAAGCACACGGTTGGGGGAAAAAAATGAAATTTTCCCTATGATTGCACACATAGACAATTCTAAAGAATTTACAAAAACTGCTCTGTAGAATGAATAAGTGAGTTTACTAAGGTTGTAAGATAAAAGATAAACATACAAACTCAATCACATTTCCATATACTAGCAATAAACATGTAGATACCAAAATTTAAACTACAATACCATTTATGGTTACTCAAAAAGAAAAGAAAAGAAAAGAAAAGAAAATACTGGCAAATCTAAAAAGAAGTATGAGGCACTTGTACGCTTAAAATGCTGATAAGAGAAACTGAAGATCTAAATAAATGAAAAGATAGAAGATTCAATATAAAAAGTTTTTACTTTCCCCTAATTGACATATGAGAATTCTTATCAAAATCCCAGCCATATTTTTGTACAGACAAGATTATTCTAAAATTTATATGAAATGGTAAAGAAATTGAGATAGCTAAAGCAAATTTAAAAAACAAAATGAAGTCATAGAAATAAACCTACTCAATCACAAGATTTATTACCCAGCTATAGTAATTTAGGCTACCTGGTGTCTTTGAAGGGATATATGCATATATAAGAGGAGCAGAAGAGAAATAAAACCACATAAACACTTCCAATTGATTTTAGATAAAGATACAAAGACAGTTCAGTAAAGATCATCTTTTCCACAATGGTGCTCAAGCAACTAATGTTCATAACCAAACAAAAAGAGCTTCAATCTAGTCTCTCAACTTGTACAAAAAATTAACTCAAAATGGATCATGAGCTTAATGGAAAAATACTATAAACTTATAAGAAAAAAAGAGAAAAGATTTATTTTTTATTTTAAAGAAAGAAAAATAATAACAACAATGGTATAAAGTTTCAAAACAAAATTGTAGGACAGTAGCACTGGTTGGTACATTGCGTATTGTTATCTTTAAAGTAGTTGCTCATATTACAAGATATAGTCATGAAAAATTAATCAAGCAATATAGGTATATACCTTTCCTTTCAAAGAGCTAATAGCAATTAGTAGTAAAACTATCTTAACTATCGTGTGTGTGTGTGTGTGTGTGTGTGTGTGTATCTTTTCCCCTTTCCCTTCCTTTTTTTCTCCTTTCCCCATTTCAGTTTCTCTTTCATTTTGAGCATTTTCTTCCCATTTCACAAAATCTATTGTACATTTTGAGTCTTATTTACTCTTTCAGCTTCTTACAATAGGGAGACAATACAATGTTTATACATGCAAGACTGACTTATTTTACTTATAAGTATGAATTCAAGTTGCATCCATTCCCCTATAAATGTCTCAAGTTTATCCTTCTTTATAGATGAATAGTACTCTATTGCATACAAATACCACATTTTTTATCCATTCCTCAGTTGATGGACATTTGGGTTGTTTCCAAGATTTTTCTATGACAAATTGTGCTGCTGTAAACATGGGTGCACATATATAATGGTGGAATGATGTTTTTAATTCTTCTGGGAAAATACCCAGAAGGGTAATAGCTGGGTTAAATGGGACCTCTAACCCTAGTTTTTTGAGGAATCTTCAGACTGATTTCCAAAGTGATTGCACCAGTCTACATTGCCACCAGTAGTGGAGAAGGGTTCCTTTTTCCCCACAGCCCTTTCAGCATATGTTGTTGGTTGATTTCTTGATAATAGCCATTCTTCCTGGGATGAGATGAAATTTCAGTGTTGTTTAAATTTGCATCTCTCAAGTGACCAGTGATGTTGAAAATTTTTTCATGTATTTATTTGCCATTTGTATTTCTTTATCTGAGAAGTGTGTATTCATCTCAGATAACCACTTTTAGATTGGGTATTTGAATTTGGAAGGTCTGAGTTTTAAAAATTCTTTATATGTTCTAGATATAAGTCTTTTGTCTGAGGGACAGTTGGCTAAAATTTTTTCCCACTCTGTGGGTTGTCTTTTTATTCTATTGGTGATTTCCTTTGATGTACAAATACTTTTTTTAATGATGAGATCCCAGTTGTTGATTTTTTGAAGTTTCCTATGCAGTTTGAGTTTTATTCATAAAGTCTCTGCCTACCCCTATGTCTTTAAGATTTCTACCTACTTTCTCTTCAGTATATGTAGCATTTCTGTTTTAATATTTAGATCTTTGATCCAGTTTTAGTTTAGTTTAGTGCATAGTGATAGACATGGGTCTTGTTTTAGTCTTTGGAATGTAGTGAGCCAGTTTTTCCAGCACCATTTATTAAAGAGGCTATCTTTCTTCCAGTGAACATGTTTGGCCCCTTTGTCAAAGATAAGGTGGATGAGTGTGTTTGTAGTTGTGACTGCATCATCTAATCTGTTCCTCTGGTCCTCAAGTCTGTTTTTTTGGCCAGTACCATGCTGATTGTTATCACAGTAGCTTTGTAGTATAATTTCAAATCAGGAATTGTGATGTCTCCTGGCTTGCTTTTATTGCCCAGGATTGCCTTTGCTATTCTAGGTCTTTTCTGGTTCCAGGTGAATTTTAGGAATATTTTCTCTAGTTCTGTGAGGTATGCTAATGATATGTTTGTCAGGGTTGCATTAAATCTGTATAATAATTTTGGGAATATGGTCATTTTCACTATGTTGGTTCTTGCTATCCATGAGCAAGGGATATCTTTCCATTTTCTGATATCCTCTTAAGGAGAAAACATTTAAAACCTAAGGTTAGGCAGAAAGTTCTTACATATGATGCCTTAAAAGGAGAAATAAATTAAACTTTATCAGATTTTTTAAAAGTTTGCTTTATGAAAGACTCTGGTAAGAGGATGAAAAGACAAGCAATAAACAGGGGAAAATATTTACAAGCCACCCAACAAAGGTCTAGCATCTAGAATGTATAAAGAATTCTAAGAACTAAACAGTTTTTTTAAAAAAAGAAGAACATGAACAAAAGACAGAGAAATGCTTAACTGAAGAGAATATATAAATGGCAATAAAGTATATTAAAAGAGGCTCAAAAGTAGTAGCCACTAGGAAGATGCTAATTAAAACCACCATGAACTATTACAACATACCTATCAGAATGACCAAAATAAAAAACAGTGATGCTGTGGAGGATGTGAGGAAACTAGATCATACATTACAGGAGGGAATGTTAAATAGTATGGCTTCTCAAGGAATGGTTTGACAGTTCCTTATAAAAATAAACAACCCTACAACCCAGCAGTATACCCCTAAACATTGATCCTGGAGAAACAAAATGTGTGTCCATACAAAAACCTGTACATGACTATATCTAGCAGTTTTATTTGCAGCAAGCCTAAACCAGAAATAATCCTGGCCTTTTAAGAGGTGAGCAGCTGAATGCACTCTGGTCCATCCACATCATGGAATAGTATTCAGTGATGAAAAAGAGCAAGCAATCAACAGCTACAATAATCTAAAGACTCTCAAGAGAGCTGTGTGGAGTGAAACACATCAAGGTTACATACTAGATGATTCTGTTCACATGAAATTCTTGAAATGACAAAATTACTGAAATAGAAACCAGGTTAGTAGTTATCAGGAGTATGGATGGAAAAGGAGAATAAAGGAAAATGAGTGACTGTAATAGGGTAGCTCTAGGGCCATCATGGTGATACAAATGGTCTCGGTCTTGACTGTATCGATGTCAGCATCCTGCTTGTGATACTGTGTAATAGAGTTGAAGATGTTACCATTGTGGGGAACAGGTACCTAGAAATCTGTTATTTCTTATAACTGCATGTAATCTGTAATTATCCCAAAATGAAAAGTTTAAGAAATAATCATATCTTACTAAAAGACAACCATCCAGCCGGAGATCTGTCATACCCCAGAGACAGATCTGCTGGGTGCCTGCTGTCAGCTGTGTGCTGTGCTCCCTCCTGTACTTCTCAGACAGCAGCAAGATCCACCCTGGGTAGGCAGCCTGGGCTGGGATTGGCGCAGAAGTAGCCCCTAGCCTGGTTAATGGGATTTGTCAGTGTGGGAACTCTGAGTTTTTGAAGACACCATGAGGCTATGGGTACAGGGTGGGAGGTGCAAGATGGTGTCAAGGGTCACAGGGACATCAGAGAGCTGGATGAGGGAATGGGTCAGCAAATAAGGAAAACATCAGGCATCTAAAAGGAATTATTCATCAAGAATAAGGGCCAGGCACCCACTGGTGAGTCAAGACTGGGGTTTGGTTGTACAAGATTAGTGGTGAGGACATGCTGAGCAGAGGAGATGAGAGGTTATAGGACCATTGCAATAGACTGGGTTAGTCAGCAGTGGCTGGAAGTTCAGCTCAGGAATAAAGGCACATAGCTGGTGTTCATGGACTACCCTGATCACAGCCAAGGGCTCCAGACTGGGAAATGCTGCACAGTTGGCAGCTGCTGGGCTTGCTCATGGAGGGCGTCAGACAGAACCACAGGCCAAGGGCAGGACAGGATTCTGGACCACTGTTGCATGGAGAGTCAGAAAGGCGCCAACGTCCTTGCAGCTCCTCCGTCCTGGGATTCCAGGTCTCCCTGACTGTTCTCCTACCTCTGTGCAGCACCCGATTGTTAAACGGGCTTCTTGCATGAATGAAGGCATTGTCGTCATAGAGCTGGGAGGTCATTTTTATCCTCTGAATCACTGTCTGCTTCTGTGACAGATAGCAAGACTTCATCTTCCAGCCTCCTAATCCCAAGAGTCCTCCAGTGGATAGGCACTTTCTTCTTCTCCCTTTCTTCTCCTGGAGACAGTCACACATAGCTTGTGATGGAGGCTGAAATAGCACAAGTGAGCGATGGCCCCAGGGCCACTCATACTTTGGAAAAAGAGAGTCCTGATGCCTGAGTGACATGGGGACCATCAATTCCTCCAGAACATGTTGGTTGCAGGTTGGACAACTATGCTAGGTCTGGTGACTAAGGGTGAACTAACCATGCTCCCTGCCTTTCTGCAACCTGCCAACTGGTGATGTGGTCCCTCCCTAGGGGCTCTCAAGGCAGGCTTAGTGAGAACATAGGGGGAACAGAACAAGCGGATGAACGACGATCTCACCAGCCCTCCATGGGAATGAAGTGAGTGACAGTGATGAAACGGCTGCTTACAATGTCTGTATATTTATATAAGATGGAACTTCATTTCTCTTGTGTGGAGGTTCAAGGGCAAGCTGTTGAGAGTTGGTTGCCTTCCCTGCTGTTTTCCCCACATCCAGGCTCTCATCTGGCTAGCCCATTCTGGTTCACCACTGCATCCACAGTCCAATGTGGGGAGGAGGAGGAAGGTTGGAGAATGGCAGGTTTCTCAGAGACCAGAGGCCACGCAGAGGTCAGTCTACTCTCTTCTTCCAAAGATTACCTTATGACAGTGTCAGCTGCAAAGATCGGAGCAGGGGAGAGGGCTCTTCATGAAGCAGCCTGGTGCCCAACAGTACTTTCAATCACTATGGGAGAAGTGGGGTGTAATATAGGGGCTGGGAGGAGCACAAGCCTCTAATTGAGAAAGCAGATGAGTAACAGGTGGTTCCAGCTCCCCAAAAATAAAGGCAAATGAATGATGCAGTTATGAATGGCAAAGAAAAAAACTATAAATACACAGAGCTAGAGGACAGGGGAAAGCAGGGTAAGTGTCAAAGAACAGGGGACATTAGCTCCAGGCTTTGGAATACTTATGAGCTGCATGGACATCACCTGCTGAGACAGACATTCATCTACACATAGAGCAGCCTATGGGGGAAGAGAAGGAGCAGCCCGAGGCAAGTCTGGCTGGCAGATGAGTTTGCAGAGCCTTGTGGTACCCTGTCCTTGCACTGAAGGACTCTGCATCCTATGTTCTGAGTGTTTGTATTTCTCTCTCCATCTTTACCTGTCCTCTTTCCTCATGCAGAGGTGCCCCAGAAGCCTGAATCCAGTCCTCAGCCCTGGTTCCACCTCAGAAGCTGCCAGTAGCCTGGGGAACCAGCCCCAGGATATCATGTATCTCTGGGAAGGCCACAGAAGCAGGGCCGCCATTTCATCATTGTCACTCACTTCATTCCCATGGAGCGCTGGTGAGATCATCGTTCATCAGCTGTAGGGAAGCAGGCGATTTATCAGGGGTCACCTACTAAATTAACACAGAACCAAGATGAAAATGTGTCACCGTCTGATGCTTAGAGCCAAGACTGGCCTCCACCACCTGGCTTCCAAAGACAAGTGATGACCTCCAACTGCAAAACAATGACAGACACTATGAGGGCTCTACTCCAGCTATCGCCTTGAGCAGAGAAAGTCCCTTCAGAACTGGAACCAAGAGAGGTCGTGTCCAATTCTTGTCTCAACCAAGCACCCCCAGAAGTCTTCATCTGACTTTGGAATCTAAACTGGGGTTCCATGGCTCTACTCTGTAGCTCTCTATCATTGTCCCTACCACACAAATCTATATTTGCTTTATTTGCAAATTTATTTGTTTCATGTCGAACTATCCCCTAAGCTGATAGATGTGAGGATGGGGATGTGTCCCAAAGATTAATACTCTACCAATTCTATAATTAGCTCTCAATTTATTCATCCCACGAGTAGTTATTGTCATTCACATGCAATATAGTTTGCTGAACTGATACTAGACATCAAATTGGACTACATGACTGCATCAGTTTCCTATTGCTGCTGTAACAAATTGTCCTAAATTTAGGGGTTTAAAACAACTAATACTGACTTGTTGGAAGTGAAAACTCAGTGTCACTGGGCAGAGTGCAAAGTGTTGGCAGCACTGGCTCCTTCTGAAGGTTCTCAGGGGCTGTCTACTGCCTTACCTTTCCCAGTTTCCAGAAGCTGCCAACATTCTTTGGCTTCTCACTGCTCCCTCCAGCTTTGATACCAGGTGTGTTAGCATCTGGAGATAATTCCCTGGCCTCTGCTTCCACCCACTCCTGTCTAACTCTGACCTCCTGCCTTCTTAAGGCCCCATGTGATGACACTAATCAATGAAGATCACCCAAGATTGTCTCCTCATCTCAAGATCCCTAATTTCTACATATCACCAAAGTCCCTTCACCATGTCAAGGAACATATCTATAGGTTCCTGGGATTAGGACCTGCTCACCTTTGAGGGCCCAGCATTCAGCCCACTGCAGTGACCTATGTAACACATAACTGCAAATCTCTGAATGAAAGACTCTTTTTAAATTCCAGTCTCAGAATATTTTAAAAAGTGGAAAGATTTATACGATCTGAAGAGAAACCAGAGTAGTCAAAATATTTTAGTAAATTATGCATCCTACACTTTGGAATCACATCTTTCTCTGGTTGGAAGCTTGCTTTCTCATCAGGTCAGCACGTTTATGAAATGTGTGATATGACTGCAGGCCTGGGGGCTACAGGACCCCTCCTGTCATGGATTCAATTGTGTCCCCCAAAGATACGTTGTTAGCCTGACCTCAGTACCTGTGAACATGGCTTTATTTGGAAACAGACTATTTCAAGGTGGGATCAAGTCAAGATTGGACCCATTTGGATTATGGTGGGCCCTGAATCCACTGGCTAAGAAGAGATTTGGAAGCAAATACGAAGGGGGAAGTTGTTCAAGTGATGATGGAGGCTGAGGCTGGAGAGGTGGGGCTATAGGCCAAGGAATGCCAAGGGCTACCTCAGACCAGAAGCCGGAAGAGGCTGGAAGGATCCTCAGTCCCCTAGATCTCTTGGAGGGAGCATGGCCCTGCTCCACATCACGTGCAGATTTTCAGCCTCCAGAAAAGAGGGAGGGTAATGTCTGTTGTTCATACGACCTGACTGGGGGTAGTTTGTTGCAGCAGCCCTCGGAAACTCAGGCACACGCTGTTCCTATGTAGCCGGCCTGTCCTCATGGGCTCTGTCGAGTCCCCGTGAAAATACAGTTGGGCTGCTGTAGAGGGCCCTGTTCCCCAGGTAGCGACCCATCATCTCACTTGGTCACAGGGCTGCCGGAAAATGCTCTGCCACTGGGAATGAGCTATTGCCCCCCTTGCTCAGACTGCACTCTCCGTCAGACTCAAAGTCACCACTGTGAGCTCAGTGTTCTCCTTATTTCTTGGAAAGCACCTTCAGAACCAGTTCAAGGAAAACAAACTGTGAGGTTTGTGCAGGATCTATTTAAAGCAAATCATTGGTTCTAGTTCCAATAACAAACCAGAGGCCAGTTGGGTCTTTGGGACAAGAGTAGAGGCGCTGAGCATGTGTGCTTAACTGCAGGGCAGGCAGGTCCCCACGCACGTCGCCTGGCTTGCCCCCTCCTTCACTGGGCAGCTGCCTCAGTGGCTGCCTGCCCAGCACTCTGCCCAAAATGGACAGAGAACTACACAGTCACCAAATATGAATCTTAAAGCAGATTTGATGTAGGAGTTACCATTTTGGTGTGCTTAGTGGGAGCATTATGAGCCCAGGTAGGCCCTGTTATCCAGAAATCCCAAACTGCTTGGTTATAGCAGGATTTATGCATGCAAAGCCTACTCCAGGGCTCTAAGAATGCAGAGTCAGTGAATGGCCCAAATCTGGAAGCACCGCAGCTGCCTGTGCCTGGCTGGGACCCAGTCTGAGGCAAATGTTTCTTCTATCCTGACATTGGCAAGCTCTCCTCTGTGGGCGGTGATAGCAGGGTGGACCAATGGACTTATTCCTCTCCCGCACATCAATTCTATGTACCACCCTATGCCAAGCACTGGCAATGCACTGGTAAACCTATTTCTCCATAAATATCCTTTAAAAAGGGAAAGTCAAATAAAAAGGTAAAAACCAAAGTTATGCAAACAAGTACATAAAATAATTGTTACAGGGGAACCCGGTACCTAAGACACAGTTCGGAGGATGCCCTTCTGAGAAGGTTACACTCAAGCTGAAAATTGAGGGAAGTGAAGGAGTCAGCCAGGGCAAGACTCAGGCAGCAAGAACAGGTATAAATGTCCTGAGGCAGCAAAGAGATCGGTTGGTATTTTAAGGCTGAAAGAAAAAAGATGTGATGGGAGAGCTGAGATCACTGGGAATCACAGGGTAAGCAGGAGCTGGTGGGGCAGGCAGGGAAGGTCATGCAGAGCTCTGCCTCATGTTTGGATTTGATTCTGGTTGCTGTGGGAAGGGATTTAATGATGTCACATGTGACTTGACATAGTCTCCCCTCAAGCTCTGTCTCCTCTTCTTCTGATTCTTTGAAATCACTTGTGCAGTTACATGGAGGGCAGGTTAGACATGCGCATAAATGTAGGGTTGAGGTCCTCTAGGACAGATGTGTCAGGGACGTGGGCTGAGACAGTGACAGTGGCAGGAAGGAGAAATCCTGACCAGATAGGTGCTGGACACGAATGGGCAGGGCTTGCTGACAGATGGGCTGCTGAGGGAGTGCGTTTTGCAGAAGGGTCTCAAGTGCGTGATCAAGCCTGCTTTTACTCAGGGGATTCTGTCCCGCTACAGAGTGGCACACCCAAGTCACAGGCTCTTGGGGCCCCTGGGAAGCTGCTCTGAGACGGCTGTTTGTGCCCTGCCCAAGTCTTGCTGCATTAGCTTAGTTGGGTAGACCTATCCTCTCTGGAGCTCTCCAGGATCTGGAGTAAGATACCCCAGGACACTTGCCTCTTGTGTGGCAGGCAGCATTTTTCCAAATTTGAGGATCTGTATCATATTCATTTTTTAACTGTCAGAGAAAATGCTGCCTAACAGCTCCTCCCTGACCAAGACTGGGCTGTTCCTAGAATGGATGGAGAAAGATCAAGTCCTGATTTGAAGCATTTACCAATTTCTCTGGTATAAATAGTCCCACCAGGCCTCTTTTAAGCTATGTACGGTTCACGGGTTCACAGAATTCCTGAATGGTTAGTGCCTGTGGGAGCCAGCATGAGGATGGAATTGCGTGACTGCCAGACCGGAATGCAGCACCAAGCAATGTCCCTAGCCTCTAAGCATGTGCAGTGGCTCAGGTCATAGGCAGAGGCTCCAGGAAACATGGGGGCAGATCTGGGAAGTCACTCAGTGACCCACTGTACTCTCCAGTGTGTCTGGATAAGTTAGCCTCAAGACCAAGCCTCTTCCCAAGGCCACTTTCCTCTGCTGCTCTTGGAGAATGGCCAAGGGACCATACTTTAGGAGGAAGTGCTGGAAGGTGGGCTCCTGAGCGACAGGCCTGGCTTTGCCACTGATTGGCTCAGTGACCATGGGGAGTCACCTAACCTCTCTGCGTCTCAACCCTCACAGCCCCAAACAGAGTGTTTCCAGGCTTGCAGCTCAGACTGGTACCAAATCTCCTGCAGACTGTTCTTACCCCGTGGGAGGAGAGGCAGAGACCACCCAGGGAAGAGTGACGGTGAGATCTGGTGGCTGGGTGGAAATTCAGATGAATGAGGGATAGAGGTGAGGCAGCCAAGGCTTTACCAACACAAAAGTTTCCCTGGCTATGTACAGTGCTGTGTGCAGTACCTTTCGTATTTCTCTGGGCAGTAAGACTGTGTTCAATGGCTGCAGAGTCTGCACCTTTTAAAGGTGATGAAAGACTGCCTAGAATGTCCCTACCACTCCTCTGAGAGAGATGGCACCAGCACAGCTCTGTGACTCATCTGGGAGCTGTGTGGCCTTTCCTGCCAACCATGGGAGCCATGAGAGGCCGTGAAGGGAGCTGCTGACATTTCTCCGAGGATTGGAGACACCTCCCCCCTGCAGTCAAATGTCCCCACCTCATTCATTCCACCTCTTCCCCATGCATACCCCAAAATATGTTCTCATCCTGTAATTGGCATGCCTGATGTCCTCCTCTACAACACGAGTGCCTCTTTTTCTAGCCACAGAGGCTGGGTAGGGGACCGGGAGATATTTAAACGGCAGAGATCCAGGGCTAACTATCCCTTCCTTGTTGTCCTCAGACCTTCTGCACACACTGGAGACCTGGACTGTTGACGCATGAACTACTAAGGCATCCTTGTTCATGCCCTTGGCACCTTACCTGAGTGAATGTGCCTTTTCAAAGTCAAGATGTTCTGGGTTTTTTTTTTTAGAATGAAAAAATATGAAAATATCCCAAAACAGAACGGAGTACTAGGGTAACCATATAAAAACAATTTAAGCTGAGAAAATAACCCAGTCCTGCTTAGTCCCGAAGAAGAAACCTTGGTTTCTATGGGACATTAGCAGAGCACAGAGCTTTTGGCCAGGGTGGGGGTGGGATGCTAGCTTGCAGTCCAAATAAGCAAACATCCTCCAAAATCAGCATCCGTGTCCCACAGGCCGTGGTTCCAATTAGCTTCCTGTTTTCAGCCCTCCCAAAAATATATCTCACAGACTTTATTTTCATCTCCCCACCTTGAAAACACAGATTTGCAAGTGTGAGTACCTTTGCAAGGAGACAGTCCCAACCCGCAACCGAGACGTGCAGGAGAGAAGAAATGCATCTCATCAGAAATTTTCCATTGCCAAGGCTTTTTTTGAAAATTCTCATGATAAATGGGTTTTTACTTATAGTATTAAAGGCTCCATTATTTTTCAGATACTTTTTGCTGCTGCCAAAGAGCCAAGAAAATTGGTCATGCACCTGGCCAGCTGATCCAACCTCAAAAATCATCTGGCCTTAATGAAAAGGCCCTAATTTTCCCTCTTCTTTAATAAGTGTTTCTTCTCTTCTTCCCAGTGGTGTCCAGCATGTTGGGTGGGCATTCCGGGTGGCCAGTTTACCTTAGTGGCCATGGACGCTTGATTCATCCAGATTCTTCCCATTGCCCCCAATCCAGGGTCCCTACTCCAAACACAACCCTGTCTCTAGTCCAAACAGTGAGTAAATTATGATGAAAATTTTAATGTTTACATATAGACGCATAAATATATGCATATGCTAAAAGGCAAATTCTCAGAGGCATCTTCAAGGGGGTCCCAAAATGCTTTCAGGTGAAAGCATTCCCTTGCTTTATAGATGCTTCCATTCAGTCTTCCAGCACTGGAGAGAGAGAAAGTAACAAGGAGGTGGACTGTGGCCAGGACACAGAATCTGCTGCTCACTTTCCTGAAGAATGAATTGCAGGCCCTCAGGCTGGAACAGGCAGGTGCTGTAAAGTCTGGCTGACAGGTCGACTTAAGGTGATCTTCCTGCTGAGTCTTCAATCCTTCAACTAAGTTCCCATCACACTGCTGGTGCCTGCTAAAGGTAACTAATTATGACTACGTGCATGAAGCAGGAGGGTCTTTGCACACCTGTAATTACTACCTGGCAAGTTGCTGCAGAAACTGGGAGTTTCCCAGAGGGCCAGTCATGCCATTTCTGGAGAAGTTAAGTCAAGATGGAGACTCAGAGTAAGATCTAGCCAGAGGAACCAGAATTAAATCTTAGGTAGCTGGACATATTTTGTCATTTGACAGGAACAGTCAAATTTCCCAAGCTCTTAAGCAATAAAAAAACCCAGCTAGAATGCTCACATATATCTCTCAGCATCTCAGAATACACAAGGCAGAGTCACAGCACTACCCCATAGAAATACAGTGCAAACCACATGTGCCATTTAAGTTTTCTAGAGGCCATGTTTAAAAAGAAACTGATGAGATTAATTTTAATTATGTATTTAACTAATTTGACCTAAAATATATGACTTCACCATGTAATCCATATAAAAAATTATTAGTGAGATATTTTTCATCTCTCCTGGGCAAAGTGTACCAGCTCTGGGTATGCACTGTGTGTGCAATATTCCACATGGGTGTGCACGTACGTGTTCCATGGCTGTGTGTGTTGGACACTACACTGTGAAGAGCACTGGCCCACTGTACACATCCCATAACTGTGTCACGTACAATGAATGAAGCTGTTGTGTGGAAATTTTGCTTTGGTCTAAAATTCTAGTGTTCTTCATAAAGCAAAGATTTCCAAAAATTGCTTTTAACTAGCACCAAGCAGGTCTAAAGCCCAGACTTGGTTGGTACATTCACTTGCTGATAATAGCAACCAAAATATCCTGATTTGAGTTAATAATTTATTCCCCCTCACAGTGGAAAAATAAATAAGACTGGATTCTGACTGTTCCACCCTTTAGAACCATGTGCCCACGTGAGGATGAGCACGTTCATGCTCCTGTGCTCTCTGACCTGGACACAAACATGACCCTTAAGGACAACACAGCCCCGTGGTAGTGAAGCAGACCAAAAACACCTAGTACCACAAGGCTAAGAACACTTCCTGGACAGGGGCCTACAGGCCAGGTCCAGAGTAGTAGGCAGGGACCCCAGGGAGGAAGGCAGGAAGGAGCAACAGGCAGATGAAGCAGTGGGTACAAGAAGCCTGCAGCTCCTGGTGGGGCAGGAAGGCACAGGAGTTGAGGATCTGTTCAGAGTGATCCTAGTAGCCAGGAGAGAGCCACCCTTTGTGGGGTTCTGTCCAACTAAAATGTAGTGTGAGCCACATATGTGGCAGGTTTCAGTAGCCCCATTTAAAAAAAAGTAGAAAGAAGCAGGTACAATTAGCTTTAAGAACTTTTTATTTAGCGCACTTTGTCCAAAATATTATCATTTCAAAATATGAGGTAGCTCACATTCTTTTTGATTGAGCCTTCAAAACACAGTGTGCAGGTCACACAGCCTAGCTCTACCTGGGCAGCCGCCGTTCAGTTGCTCCACAGCCACATGCGCAGGTGGCTGCCCTGTCCGGCTGCCCAGGTCTAGATGTGGTGTGTGTAATAAATAATAACTTCTGCTCCAGCTCTTGGGTTCA